TACGAAAACGCGCACCATCTATTACAATATTAAACGCGACGACTGCAATTTGCCCGTTTAAATCTTTAAATATCCAAGTTAAACCGATTACGAAAATCCGTTTTAATTAGTCACAGTAATATTATATTTATAGTTTCAGTTTACTATAGGTGTACTCGGTTAAAATTTTTTTTTTTTTTTTTCGTAACTTTAATCTGGTTATACGTGTACTTGCCAGTTGACTAGAATAAAATAATTAATGCAATAAATATGAAATGAAATGGAAAAAAAACCACTTAATTTCAACAGTTTCGCACAAATAATATCATATATACGTTCTCATTTGCATAGATATCATATTATAGATAATATATCATATTCAAGTACGGATATCGTATTATTTTTCCGATTTTATTAAATCGGTATCACGTCGCGTATATGCGGGTCGATTGTCGGCATCTATACTGAAGTACACGTTCAAAAGTTATTTCTTGACGCCATATCACATTCATTACCGTGAGATTAAAATCCTGGGTGTTGACCAGTTGTCCTACAACACATGTATGTCAATTATGTCCTAAATGGCTATTTTCAGCATTTAAAAAATATACCAATCGCCCTTGACCAATTGTACCATGATATTTTGAGAGCAACTGGTATATTTTTACACTAGGTAGTTGGGAGGAATTGGTATACAAATAAGGTTGAGAGCAACTGGTACATGTCAAAAATCCTAGCTCCGCATGCGCTGTCCATGAAAACGATCGGATCGCTGAAATCGACGAAAGGTATAGACGTTGATTTTTTCTATATTTGTGTCTGCCTTTATAATACTCGTCCCGAATTCGCCTGCCCGAATTCGCAGCCGCACGAACAGATCGACCCCGCATAGTGTAAACGCGTCTTTTTAGGTGTAGGTAACACAACTGCTCGTTACGTAATGTTGTTCTGTTAAAATTTTCTACCGGCATTAAGGCGTATTATGGGTATCTATAAATAACTTACAAATACTGTGAAATATTCTCAACTTTGTCAGTTTGTAATAATAATAATAATAATAATAAATTATTAAGTCATGTCCGATGCGAATCCGATTGTGCCAGTGTTTCTTAACCTGCAGAAGGGTAGCGACCCTCTTGTGGATGACCGGCGTATGATTTAAATCAATACGGAATATTTTGGAATCTCAACGATAAATAAATATATCACGCTAATCCTATATTATCGTGTATAAATTCATATGCCATTTAAACGGAAAACGCCATTATCGGCAACGGATGTATTGTTTGCATATTTGTAAGATATTATTATTCTTTTATCTTACGTACGAGTTTTTATTATTTTGTTTAATGGTACGTGCATTTGAAATGTAATTATATTTGGAGGCCGCTTGAAAATTGAACACTAATTTTGAGTGGTCATCACGGTACAAAAGTCGAAAAATTCACTGGATTTAGACCGTGGTTGATAATAGTGGATTAGATTAAGTGAGCTAAATATAATTGATCTAAAATTAATACAATTTTTTTTTTTTTTAAATCGTTGAGCGTCGTTTACATATTGATATCATTAGTTATTTTACATGTATACCTACAGTTATTTAATAATGAATTTTGTTGTATCATTTACGGGAAAAACTGGTAATTGTATAATATCTGTTGATTTGTGGTTTTCATTGGTAACAGGGGAAAAAATACGATTAATTATAGTCTGCAAAGAATCATTTTTAGTTAGCAACGATTTATGGTTGCAAACAGATATAAATTAAATTAAAACTACTCTATACATCCTCCCTTTCAACTTTCTTTCTGAAATAGCGGCACTTTCATCAACAATATCCGTATTTTTTTTATTGTTTTGTGCCCTTTTGTAGCTCTGTTTTGAAACGGTATCGACGGTGACACCATCGCGGAATAATAAAGTAACATTATTGTCGGGGTTTGTGGTACGTATTGTATTGTTATAAAATATATTTATTTATTGTATTTGTTAATAATCTGTCGCACTATATATTAAGCCATCTTTTACATAGTGAGTGATTTTCTTTTTTTTTTGGTCCAATGATAGGCAATCATAAGCCGTATACCATTGTTTAATGGTCAAATCTGGCGTGTGAGCTAGTGTAGGTTGTGAGATCTGTGGCTTTTCAACTATTAACTACCGCCGAGTTGTTTTTCGTGAATTATTATGGAACTATTATATATTATATCGGGTGATTCATTTAAGTGGGTACACTCATTATCTCGAAAAGTATCAAGTTTTTCCGGAATTTGTTTTCTAGAACATTTAAGAAACAAGATGCTCTACAATTTTATATTTATGTTATTTTTTGTCACCTTTATTTTTAGGGTTAAAACCGTTAACTAATTTTTATTTTAAAATGGCAACTATATTAAATTATCCATAAATAGATGGAGTATTAGTTAAAATAAATTCGAGTGTTGACATTTTTGATTTCTATCAAGTCGTTGACGAGATATTTCCCTTTTAAGTTTAGATTGGAGGAGAGTAGCTACGCTGACTACTCATGGTGTGTTTATTGTTTTTCACTGAATTTAGGGGCAGTCAATCATAATGTCGTTTGCTGTTGTCATCAGGGGGATGGGGAGAATTAAAAATAACAGAAAAATGCCTAGCTAGATGATGGGTACCACGGTGTGAAATTACTACGGACGAATATTAACAAGCACCGAGCGTAGTGAAAAAATCGCACGACAAAAAAAATGTATACATATATTGTCCAGAGGAAAAAAAGTTTAAAAAGCGCATAAACGTCACATGTCGTGGAATTAATTCGGACGGTCGTAATACGCGTTTTAATTAACAATAGTTTGTTTTTATAACGCGGTCAAACATATTAATAATATACAAATATCAAACGGTTTGTTAGATGCGTGGCAGTACGACTAGGTCGTATAAATGTTCTTCGAATCAATTATCAATTGAACACGCGATGTTCTCCGCTTTGAAATAATAATTCATCCTCCTAATAAAAAATACAAATAAAAAATCTTGAGCCAAGTTAATTTATTAATTATTACTCTTCGCCATGTCTGTAGCACGATGATGTCCACTCGGACACGGTTTACGGTTTTTTGTGACGTACGCTCGCACATTACAATATATTAACGTGCGGGCGTAAACTATATACAAAATATACACGCGTATAGTTTTGTTAATTTTAATAGTCTACAATTGGTGATTGAACATTGACCGCTTAAAGTCGACTTATGCCGTCAATAGTATGCAAGAGTAATCAACAGAAATTGTAAATTTAAAAACTTAAACAAAAAACAAAAACCACTTCAAAACACACTTGTTGCCTTTGGACGTTTACTAGGTACATGAACCAAAGGTATTTGGCCACGTATATAATAATATCTAATATACGACAGATAACGCAAAGTTGTAACTTTAAACTCGGTCGATAGATATGTTGCTGCAAAACCGAAAACAAATAACCGATTTCAGATTTTTTTTTTTTTTTTTGTACCCAGGAAACTATAATATTATTGCACGAAATAAGTATTGCAAATATATAATAAGGAACGTTATAGTATACATGCAACCTGGCCAGATGACGCCACTGTTTTTTCGGCAGTTCAGTTTTCGACTAATCTCTATAAGTTCTTTTAAATCGTGTGTTCTATAGTAGATAAATTTATCTCTCTAGTGTCGCCGAAATTTTCGCTATCGATATGTTTATTTACATGTCAAATCGTAATCACCTATATTCCTTTCAAAGTCTCCTTCCGCTTCACTCGCTTGTCTGTCTCTTTCCGTATCACTTTCTCTCTAGTTGATTGCCTAGAAATTCTCCTATTATCCGGCTATTGCGCACCGCGTACCACGACCCATCTTTTATTATCAGCTTCTAGTCAAGGTTCTTTTCCTCGGCCAATATGATGAGTTCGTTTAAATCATAGGTTGTGGTCTCAGTTTTAGTCTCGGTATTGTCTTATTTTCGGGCTCGTTCTGTAATTATAAATAATTAAAAACATAATACATGTAATATATTTTAACGTTTTTCGTTGTTCCTAAACGATATCCCAAAGAGTCGAATTGTCTTGTTTTGGCTCCGAGGTCTCTAAATTCTTTGTACAGGTATATGATATTAAATATAGAAGATTAAAATGGTATTTTGATTTCCTCTAAAAATTGTTATCAAAACGATAGTACAATGTTTGTTTTAACAATTAAACGTTTTAAAAAATTGTTATATTTGTAAGTAGGTACTGAAATAATATAAATATCATTGTATAATATTATATTTGTTTTACGTTGTGTCGTCTGACTCTATCTCCTGTTTGCTTTTTCCGTACCGTGTATTACACACGCACACGTAATGTTTTATGTACACAAAATGCCCCGTGGTAACATTATAAGTAGGTATGCCGTTCATTGAAGTGTTACATATTTTTTTTGTTTGCCATTTATTTTGTTATCGTGTTATCAGAATCTGTTGGAATAACTTATTCTTGACTAATAATTTATCTGCAAAAGTATTTTGTAAAATCTCTACAAACAGTAGATACAAAATTTTGTAAACATTTTTTTTTTTTTTTTTTTTGGTCTATCGTTACACATAAGTATCATTATTAGATTCGAGTCCACTTACAGCCGGTTTTCTTATAATATACACATTTAAGTGCATCATTTTTTTTTTTTACTTTTAAGTTTATTTCCACCGTCTATAGACCTATATAAGATCGTTTTTCTATTGTGCACGGTCAGCATTGGCGAGTGACAGCATTAACCTTCTAATAAATTTGTCCGGGTAGTTATTAGAGGAGGTGCACACGGACGAGCGTGCGTAAAAAAAAGAGGGACATCTCGAGAAGTTGGACCTTGCGGGAACGTCGAAGTTAATCATTTTTAAACTTGGGAATAACTTTCTTTAATATCATCGCTGATCAGTGTATAGATAGGTACCCATAATATTTACAAAAATCATTTTTGATAAAATATGCGCGCACAATAACCGATACAAATCTATCGTATTCTGCTGCAGGTATTTTTGAATGACAATTACTAATGATGGTATGGTCCGATATCAAAATAAATGTGAAACTATGGAGACGAAGGCCAGTTCAAAATCCCAATACACGATTGGCAGCAGTGACTTTATACGTAAGTAAAATTTTATGATAATATTAAAAATTAATAATGAATAGAAAAACGAATAAAAAAATATATAATATGTTCGTGTGGTGTGAATATTGTGCATAACAATTATATTATTAGAATATTATTACATACCTAGAGTATAAGGCTCTGACTACAATGCATTTTCCAATATAATATTGGGTATTTGATTTTGTAAAAATATTTAAAAAAAAAAATTGTTAAATTATTATGCGGTGTTTTATACGTAGTCATCGACGAAATCGAAGAAAAGCCCAAGAAAAACGTAAAGCAACAATTTAAAGACTTTTCGTCGTGCGTAAACAGCAGTACACAATCAGTGTTTTCGTACAAAACGGTCGCCAAGAGATTGCCGATTTTGCAATGGTTGCCGAATTACACGACGGAAGACGGTATAGGCGACCTCCTGGCCGGCATTACCGTGGGTCTGACGCTCATACCGCAATCCATGGCTTATGCCACGTTGGCCGCCCTACCGCCACAAGTAAATATCGCTTTTATTGTATTTTTATATAGGTACCTATTACAACTCCAACGTTGTCCATTACTCAAATAATTATTGTCAAAACGACCGAGTCTGTAGATATGTTTAAGGTGTATCGATTATCGATTTATCTAACGATTTATCTAACTGTAGGACGATCAATTTCCCGAGGGAAATCATTTAAAAACATTTTTGCCGGTCTTGGCTGAATTCTCCCGGACACTGGCCCTGTAGCCATTTATTTATGTCGATATTATTCGACCGTTTTCAGCATGGCCTTTACGGTTCGTTTATCGGAAGTTTAATGTACGTCGTACTCGGCACCTGTAAGGAAGTACCCATGGGGCCGACGGCGATCGTATCGCTCATGACCTACAACACGCTCCGCGGACTCGGTGCCGATTACGGTACGCTGCTGTGCTTTTTGTCGGGAATCATCCAACTGACGATAGGCACAATAGGACTGGGTAACCCTCTGACAATAATAAGATCGCTACATTTATGTATTACAAATTGAACAAAACACAAACATTTCGCACAGGTTTCTTGATCGATTTCATTTCCGGGCCGGTCAATTCGGGATTCACGTCAGCCGTCGCCATACTCATCGTCACGTCGCAAATAAAAGATTTAATCGGAATCAAAGCCGTCGGAACCACAATGGTGGATATGGTTTCGTCGATATCCAAAGACGCGCACAATTTCAAGTGGGGCGACACGTTGTTCGGGATAGCTTGCATCGCAGTGATTCTTTCATTAAGAGTAAGCGAATATATCTAAACGATCCGGTGATACTCCCGCGCTTCGAATGAGAATTATCGATTTATTAACTAATATATAATATTATTACTATCTCGTGTCCGTGCGAAATTCAAGCGAGTCGCTCTGTGTCAAATCGGTCCGGCGAACGAAAACGAACGGACACAAATGCAGAGGATCGTGAACCGGTCGATGTGGATGATCGGTACGTTTCGGAACTCGATAGTGGTAATCGTTAGCGGTTACGTGAGCTATTTGTATATACATGGCAACGGATACATGGACACATACGACATGGACGATTTGGATAGTCTACGCGAGCAGTTACCGTTCCACGTGATCGGTACGTAATACCTACTGCGAACATAGCAAAGAGATCTATTCAATTGCGGCTTTCGGATGTATCGCTATCAAGTATTATTTAAACAATTTTTTATTTTTCATATATTTCAGGTCGTATTCCCGCGGGCTTGCCGAGTTTCGATCCACCAAAATTTAGCCTCCCTTATAATGTCACGAACGGCACAGCTACAGTTAATATGCTGGGACTGTTTGAAATCATCTCGAAAATAGGTTCCGGAGTAATAGTGTTACCGATAATAGCGTTGATAGAGAACATTTCTATATGCAAAACGTTCGGTCAGTAAAATATTAATATACGTGTAGTATACCTACCAAGGGCGCACTTATAACCCATTATCGCGCAAATAACCAAAATACGCGCGGGACAAAACCGCAGTACAAATATTTTACAGTTTAAAATTCAACAAATAAAATATGTTTAAAATGTTTACGAATAATCGTGGAAATAGTTCCGTTCATTTCACCATCTATAATTGTCGTTATTTTAGTACCGAAAAAAATTGTTTGGCGATGTGTTGAAAGAAATGCAGTAAAACTATTATCACCAACAATGAAAAAACGTATAAAGATGAACAATTTTTAATATTAAATTCTGAGTGTAGCGAAGAGTGTATTGGTTTTACAAAGATGTTTATTTTTGTTTTATGTGAAAACTTTTTCTACCAGAAAGCTTACTCCTATATATACGATGTAACTCTTTACTGAAAAATAATTTTCTTTCAGTAGTACTTTAAAGAGGTCATTTTTTGGTTTTCCGGGTAGTTTTACCAATTAAAAGAAAAAAGTGAGAACAACGGGAAATTGTATGAAATATATTAGTAAAATATTATGATTTATTTTTTTCTGTGGACAACTTTTCTACCAGCAATTTCGCTCCAATTTAAAATAAAAGCACCTTTTCTAAAAGTAAATCTGAATGGGAAGGTACTTTGAAGAAGTCATTTTTTGATTTCCCGGCAAATATGAAAAACTGGAAGAAACAAGAGAAAACTGGGGAAAAGTAGGAAAAACGAGCAAATCGGTATTACAGAAATATTATTAAAGTAAATATATAACATTTATTTAATTATTTTACCTATGATATGTATATTGTTGACAAAATATCACTATCAACTGAACTCCATTCAAAATCGTTTTTAGTAAGCAATGGTTTATCGTTGTTTACAGATACAAATTAATTTCCCCTCTATATCCTACTTTCCCAATTTCCCACTAATAACAGTGGCTGAATCCATCATGCGAAGTATGTCCGTCTTTTTAATCACTGATCTTACGGAATTTGAATTTAATTCTTTGCGAAAATATTGGTTTTAATAAATCTGTGTGGTATCGTACTATTTTCGTGCGCGGAATCAGGTTATGCATTCTGTGCGGTATTGGCTCGTGTTTGTGCGGTAATGGAAAGCGCAGATCTACTAATTATCCATAACTTTTTACGTTCTGTTGTTTTTTTTTTTCGGTTTTATAGCTAACGGTAAACCGGTGGACGCTACGCAGGAGTTATTGGCTGTAGGTCTGTGCAATATAGGCAATTCTTTTTTCCACGCGTACCCCGGTTCGGGTTCTTTTTCCAGGAGCGCCGTGTGCAGTGCCAGCGGAGCACGGACTCCGATGGAAGGTTTATACGCCGGTAAGAACGATCTGACCTCATGGAACTAAGTATAGTTGGCATGATATTTGAAAACATCAAATTATCGATTTGGTATTATACAAACAATAGAGACGTAAAGAGAATAAAAAATATTTGTTTTTCACGAACCTCTATACTAAACCGTATTGTTTTTCCGTATTCGGTTTTTCCTCCAGGAATCTTGGTCATCATATCGCTAATGTTTTTTACGACCCACATGTATTTCATACCGAAAGCGTCCCTCGCTGCGATCATCGTGGCCGCGGTCATATTCATGGTCGAAGTGCGAGTAGTCAAACCTATTTACAGATCGAAAAGTAAACACGCGTAGTCATACGCCCATAATTAAAATATCAAATGCATTACAAATTGCAACGTTTCGTTCTCTGATTTAGAGAGTGATCTCATACCGGGTTTGGCGACGTTTTTCGCATGTTTGATTTTACCACTGGAAATCGGTGTTTTGATCGGGATCGGATTGAACCTGGTGTCGATATTGTATCACGCGGCGAGACCGAAACTTATGATGGAAGTACACAAGGTAAATTAGTGCACGTCTGTGGACTTTGAAAACGGCAGTATATTATTAATTGGGTGGGAAACTTGGAATTTTTTTCAGACAAGGAACGGAACGAGTTATTTGATGATCACGCCGGACAGATGCTTGGTTTTCCCGTCGGTAGACTACGTGAGAAACCTGGTGATGAAACACAGCATGAAACGCGATTTGCCGGTGGTCATCGACTGTTCGCACATATATGGCGCAGACTTTACCGCGGCAAAGGTTTTATTAATAAATAATAAAATAATAAAGTAAAAACAAAATTATTTAAATGGTTAATACTCGTAAATAAATATATATAAAAAAAATGTACATACAGAAATAAAAAATTAATTAATTAATGAGTGCATCGCCTGGAGTATTATGATAAGTGATACGACCGGTTTCGAATTAAAAATTCATCATCGGGTATATCACAGTCAAAATGTAAAGCACGAATCTCATTCATTCATTATATTTTTATTTTTTGTTTCCATATATGAATTTTTTATTTATACATTTATTTACTATATTTTATTAATAGTTCTAAAAACTATTCCGTTGTATACACATAATTTTGGTCTCGAGTAAGGAGGGTTTGAATCGAATTTTGTCATTTTTACAATCGTTTTGTCTGATATAAATTTTTTTCCTTTTTATTTTATGGTTTACATTGCACAAGTGTACTTATGTATTTTGAATTTTCAACGTTTAATTCACTTGTATCGAAAACATTACGAAATTGACTTAAGCCCTTTGGACCAAATTTATAACATATTTAATAATTATAGTTACTGAAATATGCGCGTTTTGTTTTTCGAGGTCATCGAGATGTTAACGCACGACTTTTCGAAAAGAGGCCAAGCGTTGTTTTTTTACAATTTGAAACCCAGCGTGGTGGACGTGTTCGAAGGGGTCCAACCGAAAGACTTCATTACGTACTATCACAGACACGATCTGGATCGGTTGTTCCAATCCTGGAGGTCAGTTAAGTCGGTTTTAAAACCACCGGGAATAAACTCTGTAGAATAATCGGTGAAACGATGTTACTGTTTATTGTCTATTTAACAGTTTATTATATATTTTTTAGACAATCTCGTATTAACAACGCAGCAAGTCTACCGGCAGTATAACTCGACCATGATCAATAATATTGACAATATTAACCGCAAAGTTCGTTATTTTGTAACAAACTATTAATTTTTATATTTTTATGTTTTTCAAACGTATATTAGGTAGTATAGTAAGACCTTATACATTTTATTGTATTAATAATTTTTTTCAATAATTCACTACAAGGTAGGTACTAAATAATTGCTTATACATTTTATATTCGATTGAATTTATTCGACATTTCTGACTATCGCTGTATCGTGAGAGTATAATTTTTTTTTAAATTTAAATCAATTTATCACGAATTACATAATAATGATGATTTTCAAATGCAGTAATTCGCATACGATTTTTTTTATTGTTTTACCAGAGTTGTACCTACACGTAAATTTCCGAAAAACAAATAATTATTTTCAAGTCTTTATTCATTTTCAAAACTAAAATTTTAGTGACGCAGAAATTATACTATATACAATATTATATTTTTATTGATGGACAGCTACTTATTTAAATTCGATAAGTTTTCAAACGTTTTAAATATCAACATACTTTACTGTTCTAATTCGTATAGGTACGGGTTTTTTTACAAAACTATAAAAGGATGGTTTATACGTGAATTTGTTTAATATACCAAGAATTTTAAATGATATATTTATATACACATATAATTATTTACGAGTAACATAGGTAATAAATTATTATTGATTTTTTAAAAATATATTTTTACAAAAAAAAAAATATATATTATATATACTATTATTATTGTTATTATTATTATTATTATTATTATTATTATTATTATTATTGTTGTTATTATTGTTATTATTATTATTATTATTATTATTATTATTATTATCATTATTATTATTATTATTATCATTATTATTATTATACTATTGTAGGCAGTAGAAGACTAACTTCAGTAGCGCGGTGAACTTGTTTTACCTATGAGGCCAACCAAATTGGGGAGACCCACCATCTATAAAACAAAAGTCGTAATTTTCGATGAGATTTAGGGAGTTCAGCCTCTATTTTTTTTATAAAGAATATTTTGATCGAACGTCTTTTTCACAAAGTGTAGGTGAACTTGGTGAAATGTAACAGATAACATTTTTTTTTTAAAAATATAAAAATTCAAAAATTTTCAATTATTAAATATGTATTATAAGCACCTGCTAGTCTTAGATTTTGGTACATGCTTCCTAAATCTGTACCACACATGTCCAGTTTTTGACTACACACTTTGTGTCATAGTTCATTAAACAAATTAGGGACTGCAGTTTAGCGCCATTCTAAAGTTTACGAACACACATCAAAATATTTATAATATTTAAGTAATTAGATTTAATCCTAAGTTAAATTTATTTAGAAGTACCCGTATATGCAGTTACACCAAAAATTGTTCTCTAAATGTTCATGTTATATTCATACATCTATACCGATTGAATATCGTGCAGCTCTACAGAATTATACATTTTAATAATTATTATTATAGACAATATTATGTATAGGTACAATCAATTAGATATGTGGTGTCTGAAACAATTCGGAGGCCAGAGTCAAAATCCATTCACCACGCCACTGAGTCTAACTTTATATCATATATTTTGTATTTTGATACCCCGTAACAAAAAAATTAGGCATAATATCTACCTATAGTATTATAAATAGAAAACTTTTAACTTATTCTAGTAATTTTATTAAATATGTATGACATTAACAATTATATTATTTATGATATATTATCATAAATGTGTATTTATTTTTTAATTTCTTAGTATAGCCAAGAGAGTAAATTGGTTTTACTATGTGTGTGTTTTTTAACATTTTTCCTACTTGAGAACAACTTTTCTACCAGAAATTTTGGCCCAATCAAATAACGCCGAGGGAGCTATTTTTTTTAGAATTTACTGCTGCATTGAGGAGGCCATTTCAATTTTTCTTGTAGTTTTCCTAATAATTGGAAAAAAAACAAGAAAATATATGGTTTCGTTATTTTCAATTTTCTATTTTTTTGGTGCATACCTAGTTATGATTTTTTTTTGAAATATACTCTGATGCTGATCGTAAAAATTATTTTGTCCGTTTGTGTCTATATGAGATAATTTTTTAATATGATTTTGAGATTTGTCAACAAACGCGTTGAATTAGTTATAGTGCCGGCCTTACAGGTGGGGGGGGGGGCAAACGGTGCGGCCGTACAGGTACCCGTGTTTGTGCGGGGTCCCGCAAATTATGTATTCCGAATATCACTTTATTTTATAAATAATCATAATAATAATGTCCCAATAGAAGAAATTTGCGACCCGTGTAGCCGTGTGGTTTTCTTAGAACGTGGGACGAAAATCAAGATGGTACCAATTATAACAGTTACATAGCTAAACACATTATTATTGGCTTGAAAACACTCAAACATATTTTATCAGCATCGAACATAGTATTGCTGATTCTTTGAGTTGCAATGAGACAATTGACCTATTTGCATGAAAAAAAATGTTTAAGTTATACTTACTCATTTTGTGAATAAAATAAAAATGCAACTTTGATTTTATTAATTTATGTGTATGTTCAAATTCAGATTTCTAACAAGACTTTAAAGTTTATAAAATTATATGAAAATAAAGTAATTTCGTTAGAAAATAAAATAAATAATTAAATATAAGAGTATACGGGGCCGCGTAAAATTCTGCATGGGGCCCCGAAGTATAAAAGTACCTATACAATTTTACGTCAGGCGATTATTATTAATTTTTTTTTGTCGATAGAGAGTATAATTCGTCGACTGAAATCACAGTGTTAACGAGCGCGACATTTCTCATCATCAAATAAATCATATTTTTTGAGGGAAGGATTACATTTTTATTGCATATCATAAATAAAGTTACAAATACAATTATGATACGAATTTCGCCGCACCGATGTATGATAACTAACGCGTACTATTTTACCGTCAACATTACTAGATCACCTAAAAAGACCTTCAACATCATCATCATAGTCTCATTTTTTTTTTTGTCGAATATTAATTAACCTTGGAAACGGCGCAATCATCACAATCTCGCTCTGCATGAAGGTCATTCTTCGAACAATTTCAAATAACAATTCATGACCGAGCAAAATATGAAAAATCATAAAACCATTAGGAGAAGGAGGAGAAAAAACAAATCAAGTCCAGAACTGTCAAAATATACGCTATATGATTAACATAAACACCATCATACTCGATCAATGCTCGATTTTTTTTTTTTTGCATATGATATATCGGCTTATTTATAAGATATAAAATGTTAGTTAAATACAATAGATTACAATAAATACAAAAATCAAAAATCAAAAATAATAAAAGCATCGTATTCGTAAAATTTACACGTCGTTTTACGTTTTTTTTTTCGGTTATATTTAATTATTAAAAAAACTACAAGACAAATAAAAATATAATTCTCTTATTCACTAATAAAATTAAAAATGATCTCTTTTCGCTTTTATTGCAGCAATATTTCTGGTAAAAAAGTTGTTCACAGGAAAAAAATTACAAAAATGCACATCATAAAAATAAAAAGCAATAAATACCTCACTACGCACCGAATCTAAAACTAATTCGAGGTCAAATCTGAAAATGAGGTCAGCATTTAAATTTGACACGAGAGTTTAACGTTATGAATTGTAACTCAAAAGATTCATTATTAACTCTATAAACGCTGGGTTACAAGTAATAATAAGAATAAAATATTTATATGAATTATAATTTTTATTTAAATTAAAACATAATATTACTTTGGGCAAACAGAATATTGCAAGTATTTTAACAAATGCACAGCATAGAAAAAAAACCCCCCGGCGGATATGAATTTTCTAACAGGAAAAATGTCTGGTATTTATCAAATACGTAATACGCACATATTTAAATCAAGGAAACTTGAATGTATCATAAATTCATCATAATATTATTATAATATATTTATTGAGTAGGTAACTTCTTTTCGATGACTGACCTATACTACTACTACTACTACTACAATATTACAATAACGATAATTATGCAAATCTATATCTTATGTGAACACAAGTATATACTTATAGTGTTTGAAATAAGCGTGCTAACCATAAATTGAATGTAAACACTTTTGTATATTTTTTTGATATCACTATTAACTATCAAGGCGGTATTATTCCAGCGACGAGGCGTGTCGAGTCATAACCATAGACATAGTATTATAAATCTTTGGTCCTGTGTAGAAGCACTTAAGTCGATTTTGTATGGTTTTAAATACAAGTAAATTCAATTTTGAAAATCGCTAAATGACATAGGTATAGTTGCCAAATTGCTAAATAGCCTAACCTAATTGTCGTTATTAATGGCTTGAGCCAAACAAATGTACGTAACAGATAATTTAATTATCAGTGAAATGTGTATTCAAATATACACACACACGGTCATTAAGATCAAAAAATAAAGACAACAAATTACATAAGTATAAATTATATATGCATGTAAAAAAAATGTCAACAATTAACTTGACAATTTATCCCATCTTATTTTTATGCTAATTACACCAAATAATCAACTGAATCATGGGAGGGGCGATATAATTTACACATACACACTAACATACTGCATTAAAGAAAAAAAAACTTAAAACCCGTAAAAAACCGACAGCGTTAGAATTCATTTTTTTTCATGTCAATGTACAATTTACGACGAACCTCGTGTCAAATGTTCGGTAATTTTTGAGAAGCTAAAATAATTTATCTGTTCATAACACTTAATGAATGTGTAACTTGCAACAACAGCAAACAGGCTTCAAAAAATATTAGTTTTCTTAAAATAATTATTCCATTTACAATTATTTGTCAAATTTCGGCTAAAAATTGAACAAGTTAATGTAAGTATATAAGTAAGTATTAGGTGTAATAATATAAACAAATTGAATATTGTATAAAGTAAATTTATTATTTCTTTCGTGTAAAAATGATTTTTCGGAATCGTCAAATTGTCAATTACTAAACAACAATAACGAACAACTTGTTACACAAATAACATAAATATGCATAAATTAAAACACAAATTTATCGAGGCCCATTATATAGGTTACCTATACATAATTGGCCACTATTTAATTGATTATCCATAAACGAACGACATGGGAAACAAAAAGCTGAATCAATAGCTAGACTATATTTCAGCATACTGAGTATACCATATTTTTCGAAAAGCGTGGTTTTTGTTACTTATCTTTGTTCGTGGATAAATTTCATAAACTGATTGAAAAGGACCCGTTTTAATTCTTTCACTGGACTACAGGGTATTTTTTGAGAGAGCACGAATTGGATCATTAACATGATATGTATTTAAAATATTTAAATTTTGACTGAGTTTTGAATTCACTCATAAGTCATTATTATTAAGTATAAATTATAATTATCGAATCTACACCACAATTGGAGTTTCCAAAACCAAATTTATATCAATTGATCCTAGTATGACATCTCACTATTAATATTTTAAAAGCAGTTCAATACAGAATATAAAATGAGTTAAGAGTTACTGTTAAATCATACTTCATCCAGTACACAAAAGACAAAAACAGCATGCAAAAACCAAAATGTTATTTAATTCATAATTTTACAACATTGTTTATACACAAAATGTCCACAAATATGTTAAAGTATTAAGAAAATGCATACACATACCCAAGAATCCAGTTTCCAAAGTAGGCTTGTAAATCTACTTTAAACATGATATTTATAAAAATAAAACTTAGAGATATTCCATGAATAAGTTTCAATTTTAAGGTACAAATTTGGTACCTACTATTGATTTTACATTTTTTGTTGGAGAAATCGTGGATTTTTAAACTATTATTTTTTATTTCTCATTTTTCACTCATTATTTAATAAATTAAAAATAATTAAATATAACTTCGAACAAAAAGAAAAAATATGCTTAGTAAAAATCAATTATTATTATCCAACATTCTTTAATATTCAATAATCTTAGCAGCTGATAACTTATCTCGCATAAAAGTTTTAGTTGAAGTACAAATATACGGTATTATCTATGGAACAAATCGTTTGATGTTGTATTCGATTTTAAAAGTACCGAACACCGGAACACGGTCTTAGATTATTACACAACACAACACTGTTTATCCATTATTATCTATTTTTACCACCGTAAAATTTTATCATGGTTTTAATTTTAAACATGGAGTATAATCGTATCACGAACACGCAGAAAAACAAAAAAAAAAAAAATTGACGTCACAGATAGAGCAGATGTAGCCTAGGCTGCATGTGTTGCACTCGTGCGTACACCTATGTATAGGTATGTGATACGGACCGACTTTTCTTTTATCGGGAATTAGTGTTTCAGAGATAAATACGTATTATACAAGTGAATATAATTATTAATTAAATATTTATCATATGTATGTATCCACAGTATGAAGAATTCGAAACAAATAGAAGATCGATTGGAAAAAAAAACCATTTTAATCAACGCGCAAGATAAATAAATAATAACGAAAAATAAATAACTGTACAGCTCTGCGAATGACTCATCAGCTTAAATTAATAAAATAATCTTGCAGACAAATATTGTACATTGAAGTTTTCGACTATCGAATCAAAATACGTGATCTGTACAATTATTGCATTGATAGGTAAGTTCTTTTAATAGAGAAATTGTTGAAAAAAATATTCGCACGCCGTCTGAAATCGAACATTCGCAGTGTATGCAATTTTATAATCCAATAATACCACTTTAGTGGGAACATCCTCACCCTTAACGATACTATTTTCAAAACGCGTCGTTGTGTTACAAAATATGTGTCGCGTTCGTCAGGATATAATAAAAGGAGTTAATACTGCTCACCGGTAAGAAACCATGGTAAGTGAGTAACTAGGAAGGTAGGATATACCAGTTATTTTGTTTATACACTGTTTGCAACGACAAACCATTGCAAACGCAAATAAAGTTTCCGAGTGGAGTAGTATTGGTAGTAATAATCGTGTTTTTTTTGTCTTGTGTAGTCAATGTAACAAAGAAATCAACAAAAATAAAGCCGATATAACGACGTTTGTTGTTAGTTTTCTACATTTTATAAAAAAAACTGTTGGCAATTTAGACATTTTTTTTTTTCAAATTAAATACCTGCTATAGAACGAAAAATCCGCAACTTTTAAAGTATACGATGCGAATGTTTTGGAGCCTTCTTACCGATCGAACAAGTATTTTTCAAGAAAACAAAAATAGATCTAAGGGTGAACAGTTGAAAGTATCGATAAGTGTTTTTGTTAAAATATCATCAGGCGAAAAATTTGCTCCTTGACATGAAAAAACATCGGAATATTTTAACTGAAAAAATGTTTCCAAGAAATAAAACTACTACAATAGAGATTATTCGCTACGCTCACATTATGAAATTATTTTTAAAATCGTCCTCTTTATATGAAATATGTATGGGCCACGAATATTTTATCTGCAGTAACAGTGTGTCCTAAACTTAAACGACTCGCGTGGTGCAATTTCGATGACATTATTGGATTAAATGGAGACGTCAAAACGCGAGTATTGCGGTGTCCTGCACTTAAAACTAACGGATTAAATTCGGATAACGACGACACAGAAAGCCGTAGAGCTAAGTCAAATGTCACGTAAAACAAACTATTAAACGCTAACACGTCAAAATATCATTATAATTCTCGAATACTACATCGGTACTCTCGAGAATACGCGTGTATATTTGAGAAAACACTTTGTTTTTTGTAACGAACACCGCGATATAACATTATTGTGTATTATAACTCGTGTTTTTAGGTACCTATCCGTCCATCGGAAGGCCTCTGCCACTTGTACACGCGGTTTAAAAGTACCTACTCAAAAAACGTAGAATAGTAGTAATAATAATAATTATATAAAAAAAAAAAAAAAAAAAAAACGACATTTCAATATCATCGCTTCGCGTTTATTCAATAACTGAAGTACTCGCAATAATATTATAGTATTCGAGCACGTAACTTCATTATTATCAGTTATCACCATCGATTGACGTATCGTGTTTTGTCGTGAGTAGGTAGTACCTATAATATATTATACTTATTAGCTGATATTAATGCCGGTCGGGCATTTTACAATGTGATTTTCGTTCGATTATATTTTGACATTGTGGATTTATTACTGTGAACTAAAATAAACGGGCGCAAAAAAAAAAAAAAAAAACGATAAACGTCAACACGTTAAATAAACATGTCGGATAGTGCAAATCGAATAACGAAAATTTCAATCGACGCGGCGGATAATGTGTCGATTAAGAACAACGAGATGTGCAATACAGGAAGCTCCGACTTGATTAGTGAGTAAAATAAAAAAAAATTCTACAGTGCTCGTGGTATTTTTAATATTTCGTGATGTTAGGTACCTGCAGAACTAAGTAGGCTTGTAAATTATTATATTCATCGCCTCTTTTTGTGTCGAGCAGCCCATCTTCGGAGGGTCTAATATAAAATACAAGTATTTCCAGTACGGTAAATATTATGTCGTGTACCTGTTAAGTCGAATTTTGGATAATCGCATACATTGTTACCGTTGAATACTGTCTCTACAGGACAGTTGGGATCGGAAATCGTTCACTGAATTCACTGTTATCACTCGTATAGATTATTATGTTTACCGATTTAAGCGTAACAATTTTTACCAGTCTTAACGATAAACATTCGTTTTATAAACTAGCCGAAATTTTGTAAAATTGCCTTTACTCCACTCTTTTACACTATCTGAAACTGTCGGAATGTGTTTTATTTTTAATCGTACTAATTGATTTTTCTCATTATTTGATTCGAAATATGAACGTTTATTTCAAAACTGTCGCCTCGAGCAATAAAGTATATAATATCGACTAAGCCTTTTTTTTCGTTTCACTTCAAAATCATATTGGTTTTTAACATCGAATCGTCGGTCATTTTATCGGTAGCAATTCGAGCGAATGACATACAATTTAAATTGCGGGCGATTTGAGTGCACAGAGTTTATTAATTACAATTAAAACTCGTAAATATTACGGTTTCGTTTAACTTTACCCGTGTACTACTCGTTTCCCATGAGATAATTATTTTTATTTTTACAAGATATTGCCTGCGTGACATTTGTATTTGTTCGAAAATTCATCCAGATTAGTAAAATGTAAAATTAATTTTCAACTTAGTATTGATTAACTAAACGTTATCTGCATATTGACGAAGAACTATACCTATCGAGTGTTTGTTTTTAGGTTAGGCCGAATAAAGTTCGAGTGGTTTTCGGTTGGGCTATATGCCGAATACAATGCAGTTATTTATAAAATTATTTTAATCGGATAATCCTAGATACATTATATTGTTAATAACAATGTGTAATAATAAAGTTACAGATGAGACGAACGACAATGCGAAAAATCACTCGAAACCTTATCTGAAAAACGTAGACGACAATGGCCAGTCGTCGTCTATCACGTGTAAATATTTGGCCCAACGATTACCGATTTTGCAATGGTTGCCGGTATATACGTCGGAAGACTTTGTCGGGGATCTTCTGGCGGGCATCACGGTGGGCTTAACTCTCATACCGCAATCGATGTCATTCGCAATTCTGGCAGGATTGCCTCCGCAAGTAAATACAGCTTTTAACCAGATCGTCGTATGGGGTGTAGAATTAAAACAATCAACGTAGTACGGAACTATAAAATATCAATCATGTAGACGACTTAGGAAAATTTCCAGTTTCCATAACTCAGAAAACTTACTTTAAAGTATCTGGAAATGTGTTGATTGAATCTGTTTATATTGATCTTTTTTTTAATTTGTCCAGTGGTATTTTACCTTCTGGTTTCCATTCTGCTAATCGTTATGCTATAATTTAACCTCGTTCTTCTTTTTAAAGTACATACTCCATAGTTACACTTAAAATCCTATACATTTAGGAGAATGTACTCTCTTCTCTACAAAATCCTTTAATTTCGGAGTTCATTTTTATTTCATATTCACTATTTGACATAAGCATATACAAAAAATTGTGCCCACAAAAAATATTAAATTATTCTATAGAATTTTTTATTAACAATGTATACAAATTATGAAAAAAAAAGTTGATACTACTACTGTTGAAATTGGGTAGTTGAAAAGATAGGGTATACAGGGAAATTTTGTTTATACACTACAGTATTCAATGATAAATGGATTCCAAGTAGAGTAGCATTAGTCGTGTATTGTCCTGTTGTTACGAACGTAACCCAGAAATCAACACAAATTAAACAACAAAAAAAAGGACTTAACGGGTAAACTGTAGAAAATATCGACAAATGTTTCAAATAAAGTACTACAGGGTAGATATTCTGCATCTTATAAGATATGAAATGAAAAAGATCATTTTTACTATACGTAAAAGTGTTTTGTGAAAGAAAAAACATATTACTTCTTTGTTATATTCTAAATATGAAATTAATTAAAAATAATAACATTGAAACTTTATTACATAAATATTTTCTCAAATTTTCTCTATTTCCAGCAAGGTCTTTACGGTTCGATCATCGGGAGTATATTGTACACTTTCCTGGGGACTTGCAGGGAAATATCGATGGGACCTACGGCAATCGTGTCGCTAATGACGTATAATACGCTGCGTGGATTGGGGCCCGTGCACGCTACGACTCTATGCTTCTTGTCGGGATTTGTACAATTGGCAATAGGCTTAGTGGGATTAGGTAAACACTAAACAGCATCAGCTGTAAAAGTGCACGAATTCAACCGTGCGTGGATTTCATTTTATTTATTGACGAATGTGCGGTAGGTTTTTTAATTGATTTCATTTCTGGGCCGGTGAACTCGGGATTCACGTCGGCCGTCGCGGTGCTCATCGTCCTATCGCAGGTCAAAGATTTGATCGGCGTAAAATGTTCGGGAACTACGATGCTGGACATGGTCGTATCGATATCCAAAGACATTACGAATTATCGACTGGGCGACACGTGCCTAGGAATAGTCTGTATCGTCGTCATTCTTTTGTTGAGAGTAAGTACATTGTTATAAAACTGCGTTATATCCGTTTGGCAGCAATACCTCACAAATATGTGGTTTTTTTTTTTATTGGACATTTTTTACAAGGTAATTGGAACGTGTCGAATCGGTCCGGCGGATGAGAATTTACGGAGCAAATTTCACGTAATCGCGAACCGATCCATGTGGGTAATCGGTACATTTAGAAACACGATTGTGTTGATTATCAGCAGCTACGCGAGTTATCTGTACATCAATTCGACGGGGCGTGACCCGACGACGTTCAACAATCAATTACCTTTTAAAGTGGTCGGTATGTAAAATAATAAAAAAATATACTTTATGATGGAATCTTTACTGCTTCATAGCTGGATTATATTATAGTTGTATTACCCGGTATTTCCGGGACTCGTCTGGTAAAAAGTGATATAGTTAGCATAGTCCGATAAAATAAAAGTACGGCGGAAAATGGGCGGTGGTTTGAATTTTTCGTTCATCATTTTTCATTCGGTTTTCGGTAATACTGCCGCTGAGTTTTTTAATCCTTCTTAAAAACAGCTATGGTGCCTTTTTAGTTCGACCCGGAAACACGTTTCACACTATTTTTAAAACGAGAATAAAGTTGATATGGGGACCGTCAAACGTGTGTCTTCATACCACTGTTAACACGTACACAGATTTTACGCGTTAAGTGCGAGCTTATACGATAGTCCCAGACGAGTTTTGACATTTGTCAATGTAAATCTGTGCAATGTTATAATGTGATCTAAGGCACGCCAACGCGCGTTGACAGAGTAATCGCGTAATCATGACGTTAACCACGTGTCGACAACAAGCGCACGATGATCATATTATTTTGTTTTAAAACCCGTCGCGACCATAGATAATAAATAAATGGCTGACCGTATACACAGCGCGTTCTGTGACGGAAGAAAATTCTTGATACCACAATGGTTAGATTATAATATTATCAGAGTTGCCGGGTAATCGATAATGATAAATTATAATAGTTCGACATCGTCACTAACAATTTAATAAGTTGTTTGTTGCATTAACATCTAGTAATCTTCGTCAATTGTAAAAAAATCATAATTTTAAATAAAAAAAAAAAAAAAACAAATTTATGATAAGTAATAAGAACTTTGGTTATTTAATATCGTGATCCGGGAACCAAAGCTACATTTTGTAATCATGATGGTAACAAGAATAATTATTTTCCGTAAATGGATGGACCGAAAATGTGTTCACTCAATATTGAAAACGTATCATTATTTATTTTTTGACAGTGTTTAGAAAAACGTTTTTTTTTTTTTTGTTGTTTTACCACCCTTTTTGGGAAAATTGAAAATCTGACAAAAAATTATTTTACGAACAAATCAAATAAGTGTACCTATACCAACAAGAATTGTATGTAGCGTTTTTTATTAAACTGATTAGGTTAATACATTATCTCATAGGAACTAGATAATTTTCTGGGATGAAAAGTATCCTATGTCCAATTCCAGAATCTAAAGTACAATTATATGCCAAATTTCATGAAACTCCGTTTAGCCGCTACTGAGCCAGGTGGTAACAAAATAAACACACACATATAAACTTTTGCATTTTTAATATGATATTATATGACAGTAGGATGGTAAATTTTTTTCAGGAAAGATCCCGTCGGGTTTACCGAATTTCAATTTCCCGAAATTTAGGATCACCGACGACGAAGGCCGCGTCGACATCGGATTTTTCGAGATCGTCTCCGAGTTAGGTTTCGGGATCATCGTGTTGCCGCTAATTGCGTTGGTGGAAAACATTTCCATATGCAAGACATTTGGTTTGTAGTATAATACATAGTTATAGATTGATGAACATTGTTTCCGTTCGGCATTTATAACGATGTACTTTTAGCCAACGGTAAGCCCATCGACGCAACGCAAGAATTTTTGGCCATCGGCTTATGCAACATTGGTAATTCATTTTTTCACGCGTATCCTGGAACCGGTTCATTTTCCAGGAGCGCTGTGTGCTCGGCTAGCGGTGTGCGAACAACTCTGGAAGGTCTATACGCCGGTGAGAATATTATATATGCTATATATTTTCAATTTTGATATATATATATATGAAATATATAGGTATAAAATGCATATTTTAACTAGAGCTGGGAATGTAATGCCCCATAGAACCCCAAAAATACCTTAAGAAACTACTTTTATGCTCTAAAAATTCAAAATAAGACACCTACAAAAGCATTTAAGTATGAAATATTTCTTATTCTTAATCAAAAATACACGAAACGAATTTTTAACAAAACGAGTTACTAAATTATATCTGTTGGTATGGTCCGATAAAATAATACGAGCACTTATCTCTTATTATAGTTTGTTGTACCTATACAAATTTTGCTAGCGTGTAAAAATCCGAAAATAAAATTTCAAACTTGAATATTATATCCAAAACCCTAAAATGCTCTAAAAAAAAAAAATTAAGAAAATAATCTAAAAATAAAAAATAAAATTATAAAAACACATGAATGCGTGGATTTGTAAGAAAACGAGCATCGCACTATTATAATTTATAGTAAGCTTTAAAGTAAAGGATTTAAAAATAAATAGAAGTAAAACAGAAAATCAGTTTGGTAGAATAGGATAAAACAGCTAACAAAAATAAGCGGTTATTGGCAAGGTTGATAGTTTTAAGTATCTTTGATTTTATGTACAAAAGGACGATGGCTTTCACGAGAATGTGAACCATTGAATTAAGTATTGTTGAATAAAGTGTAGAGAAAGGGCAAGTGTTTTGTGCGATAAGCAAATTTTAATGAGACTAAAGGAAAGTTCTACAAAAGTGTGGTGAGTTTGAGACTATGTTGTGTGGATCGGAGTATTGGGGGCGGTAGACAAAATATTTCAACATTAAATTACTGTAGCATAGATGAGAATGTTTAGGTAGATGAGTGACGAGCAAAGATAGGATACGGGATGAGTGCATAAAAGGTGTCTTATACGTGGTTTTGATAGTAGACCAAATAAGAGAAAATAAACTAAGATGGTTTGGATATGTGAGGAAAACTGACAAAATGGTAGTTGAATAATATAAGGATACCCAGTCGCCAGTGTATGCGGGATAGAAGATAGTGTCAAGTAGATGTCAAGAACGAGAATGGCTGATCCCAAATTTAGGTTAGGATGAAGACGAAGAAGAAGAATATATAATATTATGTCCGCTACTCATAAATGTTGTACATGAAAACGCTTTAGTGAACATTTTGTGTAACCGATTTAACAAAGAAAAAAGAAAAAATAATTTAAAGAATTTTGTTAAATTGTTAAAACGTAATCAAAAAGTATTCTCTAATATTTAATTATTAAATGATTATTTGGTATTTCGGTGGAATATAAAAAAGAAGTCGAGACGTGACTTAAAACAACGTATAGTAAAAATATATTTTTACTACACGCCAATAGGCCGTGCTATACATGAACAAAAACTAATAAAGTGATAGGGTTTCAAAAAAGCGTTTATATGTTTTTATTACAAAGTGTGTAACACTATAATCGTATAAACGTACTAAATAAACGTACTGTATATTATGTTTAATCACGGTGGTGTTTTTTTTTTAACCAGGCATTTTGGTCATCATATCGCTGATGTTTTGTACGCCCTACATGAGCTACATACCGAAAACGACTCTGGCGGCGATCATTATCGGCGCTGTCATATTTATGGTCGAAGTGCGAATGGTCAAACCGATATACCGATCGAAAAGTAATATTAAATATGCATAGTGAAATATTATCATTTCGCAAATTTAGTTTTTAATAACTTTTATTCGACACCGTTTTAATGTTATTCGATCGATCATCATCACTATGGTATATTATTTTAAGAATAACTAATTATTCAGGTGAAACGTTATAAACTTTTAAATTTATGTGTATGTACATATAAAGAAAAATAAATAAATAAATAGTACTAAAATACTAAAAAAGTTAAACAAATAATAATGATTACCAACTAAGTTTTTAAAAAATTAATCTTTGAACTTAATATTCCATTTTACTATAAGTATTTATAACTTGTAATTTATCGTTATCTGTTTTTTTTTTTTTTAAGGACTGTTGATATATTTCCGAGTGTACTTAGCAGTACTTTAAATCGCATTAATTTATTCATTAAATAGAGTTTTTTTCAGTGACTCCATTTATTTTATCAAACGAGATAAATATAATTTTATTTTATGCACCGGCATTAATCTGTATTGCAATACAAATTAATTAAATTTAAAAAAAATTTTAGAAATGTATTAACACAGTTAATAATTATTATTGATTATTTAACTATATGTAATTCGTATTGAAAACAAAAACAAAAAATATTTTCTATTAATATGTAAATGATTTCAATAATACTACTATATCTACAGGTAAAATTACATTACATTTATAAAAAATATTGATCGATTTTTAAACGGCCATAAAATCTCTATTTTATTACGATATTTTTACAATTAAATAATAAAAACAAACGGTTTCTGATCCGACAAGAAATATGACTCGTCTTCAACAAATGAAATTTGAATTGAAACCATTTTGTGCTGATAACTTTTGTTAAAAAAAAAAAAAATGAAAACCCTATAAAACTCTAATAACAATCGTATTATTTTCATCGTTTAAGTGATATTACTATAAGTATTAGAGAAAATTGATAAAAGTAATATATATATATATTTTTTTTTCTTTTTGATAAATTCAAAATCGAATTAGGTGTTCAAATGTTTAATATGAAAATTGATACGTATAGATACACGTTCCTAAATGTTTTTTTTTTTTTTTTTTGTCTATTTAGAAAGTGATCTGGTTTCCGGTCTAGGAACGTTCTTTGCGTGTTTGTTGCTGCCCATAGAGAAGGGCATTTTGATTGGCATAGGGTTAAGTTTGATGTCGATTATATACCATTCCGCAAGACCCAAGCTTTCGATAAAAATAAACACGGTAAGTGCGGAATAATTATAAATATCAAACAGTTTGTAACATTGTGTAATGTTACATAACATTTTACAACAAACGATGAAAAAAACACCAACAAAAAATCACATGTCGAGATCACCTAGTAATTTTTCAAATATCAGCCGACGAGCTGCAGATAACATTAGTAGGTAGGTACTAGGTGATTTTTCTGTGGATCGTTTGCTGGGAGCTGTGATGGGTGCCTGATAGACCATTTAGTCCTATTTCCCTTGCTTGGTTTGAGCGTAGACCAAATAGAGAATAACATCTTGTCACTAGGTCATTGTTGTGATAAGGCATCAGTGATATCTATTGGCGTAAAGTAGAAAACTATCGTATTATTATTAACGACGTGTGATATCAATGCAATCACACAAACGAGCTTTCTCGGTTTCCACCACTGTTCTCAGCTGGTGACCTAACAGATTAAATAAGCGTCGAAGTATATATTTTGATAACATATTGTAATTTATTAGTTTTTGTTTTATTCAAATAGATTGTCACGCCTTTTCCAGTTTTTTAACAACGTGACATAATCAAATCTATACATTTTATTATTTTTGATCATATTTTAAAATCGTATTTTGGTATTTGTATTTTGTACAGCTGCATATTAAGCATTTAGAATGTTTTTTAAGACGCATACATTTCTGTGCTATTCATTACTATTATAATTTATAATAATAATTATCAGTTTTATTATACAGACGCCGAGCGGACGGAATAACTATCTGATGATTACGCCAGACAGGTGCATACTGTTCCCGTCGGTCGAACACGTGAGAAATATTATCATCCAAAACAGTTTCAAACATAATCTACCGGTAGTCATCGATTGTTCGCATATTTACGGAGCTGATTTTACCGCCGCCAAGGTTTTTCGTTTTTAAACAATAGTATTATTAATAGTTATATTATCATTCTCTACTACCACATATATACAACTTACAAATTGCAGCGTAGGTCTCAATCATTGATTTAAACGCATTCGGTTTCCAGCTTATAGAAATATTGAACAACGATTTTGCACGGAAGGGCCGATTGTTATTTTTCTACAACCTGAAGCCGAGCTTGGTCAAAGTGTTCGAGGGCGCGCTTCCGAAAAACTTCAACATTCGCATATTCAACGACGCCCGGGATATCGATCAGCCATTGTAGACGCTTATTGCTGTATGCACGCCAGTAAAAACGCCAGTAATAAATTTAGATGAACCGTACCCGCCTATCAACAAACGCGATTTAATCGATTTTAATGCGTTACGTCAAATGTATTTTTACAATATAAAAAAACGATAATATTCAGTTCAAATAAATAACTAAAAATTAAATTAAAAAACACCCGTTAGCAGAGGAGCTCCGTCACTAGAGTCGAATTTTTCCACAGCTGACTTGTCACAATATTCAATATTTTAAAGTTAAAATTCTCAAAAATCACATCCCTGATACTAATGTCGTGCATGTATACAATTTTATCTAACTATCTTCATTTGGGGGAGTAAGGGTCTATAGGAGTGTACAAAGCTAAAAACCACCATCCTCCCGCAACATGGCGAAATTAAGTTTGAAATGCAACCAAGATTATACCTCTTTAATCCATCAATAAAAACACACAAATTTCCAAGTTTGAGATTTATTTGATCTAGAGGGGATCGATAAAAGTACCCAAAAGTAGAAGGAAAAAGGATGTACAGAAACAACATTGTGTTATAGTCTCTATTTTCGGGGGAAAACTCGACAACAACCGCATAGTTATACAGATCCCTTCGAGAGGAAATAACTTTCCCTTTGCGTCCTTTCGAAAAATATAAAACCGATCGAAATTTAACGCCTTTGATGTTGCTTCCCCTCCAATGTTTTCCAATTTTCACCAATACACCAGCAAAAAAAATAAAACAGCAAATAACTTCCCAGATTATTGCCTAGTCAGAAAACAATCGAATAAATCGGTTATTATTATTATTATTTTTTTTTTTTTTAGATTTTTCGAGTTTACCTAGCGTATTTTCGAGGGAACATTATTTTTCTTTAGAAGAGGTGCTTAATAATAACTGGTTTGTCTTCTTTTTTACGTTTTATTTCGTCTTAATGTACATGTTTTGTATAAATTGTAAAATTTAGCGGTGATAATCATGTAATTGAATTTTAATAATAAAAAAAAAAAAAAAAAAATGCGATAGTATTTTATTTGCTTTTACAGTATCTAATAGTTGTTAATTTATTTTGGTCTTCAATCGTGTATTATATAAGTATTCAGCTAGACGAATGGTTCACAATGTTCACATAAGAAAGAAAATTCCAATTGAATGTATTATATGAATGTGATATAATTATCATATGTAAAAATTAACTTGGATGTTAATGTTGACGATACTGTCGGTTATTATTGACACCGACCTAATAAAAATTCGAAAGATTTCGTCTGCTACACAAATAATTATAATAATCAGCAAAATAATAATAATAATAATCAACAAAAAAGTCATAATAAGAATAATCATCACTTAAATAATAATAATGATCAGCAGCAGCATAATAAGCATCAAAAAAAAAAAAAAAAAAAAA